CAAAATAAAGTCCTTACTAAACCGCAGGTCATGTCACGACAAGAACTCTGATTAGATAAGCAAGATAAAGAGTTATCCAAATATATACAGTTTAATCATTAAAACAAATCTATTACATACATAGTGAGAGATGGCTATTTTCCTTCCAGCTCATTTCCAACTCTCATCTTATTTCAGAAAAAAACAGGCAAATCAGACACAGATATCTAAATGCATTCAGACATTAGCTGGAGAAGATCAGCCTACTTTGTGAGGTTGAGGAACAAGGAAGGACATTTTCAAGGCAGCTGTGCACAGAATATTCTCATGGCAGCACTGCTTTCAGCTCCGTCCAGGAACCACCATGGCAGTTACATGCACTGACAACTGCAGCGGTTGTGTGCAAAGCAATTGTGGTGAGACAGCCGAGGGTGTTGGGAAATGTAGGTCTAGTCCTCACTGAGCCATGGTGACAAGTCAGGTGATCTTGGGCCAGTCGTGGTGGTCAACCTGATCTACATCACAGTGCTAATGGGAGGATAAAGTGGGAAGGTAGGAAGCCATTTGCACTGCCTTAAGCTCACTGGTGGAAAGATGGGGCATAAATGTAACAAACAAAACATGCCACAGGTAATAATGTAGTGAGGTGTAGCAGATAGACTGCCAGACTATGACTCAAGAGACCTCTGAGTTCAAATCCCTCCTCAGCCATGGGAACTCACTGGGGAGAGGGTGGCAAGGGAAACCACCCGTTGAATATCTTGCATATCTTAAAAACCCTATTAGAGTTGCCATAAGTCGGAAGCAGCTTGATGGCACATGCTTTCAATAACAAAAAGCATATACTTCCAGCGTTCCTGAGTGGAACAGAAGAGAGGACTTGTGTGTCATCTGTTAAGGCACAAGAGTGTGTGGAACAGGGTAAACTCTGCTACTGCGTCCCTCTACTCTGCCTGCAGAAACGGTTGGACCTTGGACGTTGATTTGCAACCCTTTGGTTCATACAGCCAGCCATTTCCAGTGGGCTGCTCAGTCTCCACAGTCTCTCCACAGGTTTAGCCTTCCCCTTGTGGCAGCTCAGAGCAGAGCAGGGAAGAGGTACCTGTCCGGACTTGAAGCATGCCAGATCCACTAGGCTATGCCAGTTGGAGGAATTCTGGGATTTGTAATCCAAAAGCATAACTTTTCCAAGACCTGGCTCAGAGCAGAGTTGCGAAGTGAGAGAGCAGTAGGGGTGCCATGATGTATTCCTCTAGACAGTTTGACAGATCCAGCCAAAGTTAAGTACGTTTATGTCTCTCTATGCATTTCCATTGCATTATTGAGCGCACGCCTTTTCCTCACTGCTGTTGAGATCAGTAAAACTTAAACGTCACTGCATTGTTCCATATGCTTTAAATGTTGGTCTAGCATGTTAAAGCCGGACCCCACAGATGGCTGGGTGTAGACACATGTACATAATCTGCATGAGCAGATTCCTGTGAGTGTGTGCGTCCTTTCTAGTCATAGAGAGGGTCAGTCCCCTGCATGTGTTCCCCTCCTGCTGCATGTACGTGTGCAAATGGTTACTTTCTTCCCTGAACATGTGTGTGTGTGTGTGTGTGTGAGTGAGTGAGTGAGTGACTCACTTTCCCCCCTGACTCTATTTGTCATCCCTGGCTGCACCCACACTGGCTGCCACACCTTCCACTCTAACAGCCACAATGGGCACCAGGCACCACACATGTACATAATCTGCATGAGTAGATTCCTGTGAGCGTGTGTGTCCTTTCTAGTTGTAGAGAGGGTCAGGCCCCTGCATGTGTTCCCCTCCTGCTGCATGTACGTGTGCAAATGGTTAGTTCCTTCCCTGAACATACACGTGTGTGTGTGTGTGTGTGTTGTGTGTGTGTGTGTGAGTGAGTGAGTGAGTGACTCACTTTCCCCCCTGACTCTATTTGTCATCCCTGGCTGCACCCACACTGGCTGCCACACCTTCCACTCTAACAGCCACAATGGGCACCAGGCACCACAGTGCTGTGAGTGAGTGAGTGAGTGACTCTATTTGTCATCCCTGGCTCCACCCACACTGGCTGCCACATCTTCCACTCTAATAGCCACAATGGGCACCAGGCACCACAGTGCATGAGGTCAGCATGATCTGTAGGAACAAAGCAAACAAACAAACAAACAGACAGACAGACACAATGGCTCCTTTGGGAGCCAAGTCTTGTTCAATAGTTTAAAGCAGAGATGCAGAATGTGTGTGTTGTGGGCCTCAGCATTCCCATTAGAGTTCCATGCTGCCCTCATTGACCTTGCTCCTCTCACAAGCACATACACTCAGCTGCCGTGGCGAGCAGTTAGTTACAGTACTGCTTGCTACAGGTCATTTCACTACAGCGGTCCTAGAGTGGCCAATTTAGCCCCTTTCCAAAGCATCCCGTCACACAGGAAGTTGCTGCTGCTACGTCGTCTAATAGCTGATCTTGGGGTGCCAGCCAACCCTACATATGCAGAACCAGAATGTCTTCGAGAAGCCTCAAATCAGGCTGTTTCAAACTTGCACAACTTTCAAAAGATTAAAAGACAAAGAAGAAAAAGAGAAACAGAAAATTGTTCCTTCAGTACAGAATCCACAATAAGAGTGGCACTGGCCACTTATTCAGTGGTAAAGGGCAGAGGGAAATCTCTCTCTCTCTCTCTCTCTCTCTCTTTGGGTTTGGAATGGATCTCCTCAGCTCCTGCCTTTATATTATAACCACAATTTTTAGGATAGACCATTTATGTTAAGAATTGAGAGCCGGTGTGGTGTGTAGTGGTGGATAGTGCTGGACTAGGATTCAGATCTGGCTTCATATCTCTCTTTGGCTATGGACATTCACTGGAATGATGGTGGCAAACCACTCCTTGAACATCTCACATAGCTAAAAAATCCTATTAGGGTGGCTGTACATCAGCAGTGATTTGACACATAACAGTAATGGGAAGAATGGACACCTGTTCACAGACAGAATCCAGTTGGCTGAACAATGCTTCCCTGTGGAGCCAGGAGTGCAGTGGTAACTGGACATGGGCACGAACCTTGGTTCAAAGGTTTGTGCCACTTTGCCAGCACGGCACCACGGGTGCTGCACTTTCCCTCTCCTCCCAGCTGGCTTGCCCATATACCGGCCAGCATACACTGCTCTTTCCTTGCGCTTCCCATAATCATCCTGTCTCAGCAGAGTGCCTGTTTCCCTCCTTGACCTCCTCCAGCAGGGCAGGGAGTAGGCAGCTGCCAGTGGAGGAGGGAGGCACACACTCCTGCTGGAACTGAACAATTATGTGAAGATGAAGGAAAGAGTAGCACACACCAGCTAGTGAGTGGGGAAGCTGGCCAGGGCGGTGGGGGAAAAGAATGTGTGGCACCTCTGGTGCTGCACTGACAAACCGGCATGAACCTCACCTCTGAACTGAGCTTCATGTCCATTACTAGTGGTAACCCACAGCAAGCAGACCAGCTAAGATAACCACCTGTTTATATTTAATCTGCAGGAGATTAAGGCATATAGTGTGATTCAAGACAAGTAAACAGGATCGTGATTGGCCAAGTCTTGGGCTTCCACTCAAGAGCAGAAAATTCTTAGGAGGACAACTTTCAGCATGGAAACTCCCCTTTTGTGTTGGTGGGACTCCTGCCAAGTCATATCTGATGTGTAGCTGGAGAGAACCAGTGTAGAGCAATAGTTGGATCGTCCAAAGGTCATGGGAGCAATTGGTGGCAGGGTGTAGTGCCTGAGAAAAGATTAGAATACATAAAGATTAGAATTCTACTTTTGGTCTGCTTCAAATCACTTAGCCTGAACCTGTTTTCTAATTCATCTGGGAGGAAAAACATTATCCTTTTCGACATATTGCGTTATTAAGGTTTATTTGTTACAACAAAGAGTACTGTACTAGAAGAGGTGCATGAAATGGGAGACAGAAGAGATAATAGCTCAGTTGGCTCCCTCTTCTGTCGTGGAGGTTCCATGTGGCAACCAGGGAGAGTGCTGGGGCATGCCACGAGATGTGTGTGTCTGTTAATATTTAGGTTTTGTAGTTATGTCTTGGGGAGCATAGAGTTATGCATGGATTTTGAACTACATGGAGGTGTGGTGTCCTTAACTCCAGCATTGTTGAAGGCAGAAATATATAGTGCTTTTTTCAATAGCATTGGTAAATATTAAAACCAGAGACCTGAAAATAATTAAAGCAGCAAACAAGCATGTATTGAGAATTTAAGAATTGATGCTTTTGAATTGTGGTGCTGGAGGAGACTCTTGAGAGTCCCCTGGACCACAAAGAGAACAAACCTATCCATTTTGAAGGAAATCAACCCTAAGTGCTCACTGGAAGGACAGATCCTGAAGCTGAGGTTCCAATACTTTGGCCATCTCATGAGAAGAAAAGACTCCCTCCTGGAAAAGACCCTGATGCTGGGAAAGTCTGAAGGCAAGAGGAGAAGGGGACGACAAAGGACAAAATGGATGGACAGTGTCATGGAAGCAACCAACATGAATTTGACCAAACTCTGGGAGCCAGTGGAAGACAGGAAGGCCTGGCGTGATCTCCATGGGATCACGAAGAATCAGGCACGACTTAACAACTAAACAACAGCACAAAGTAAAGCAATTAGCAGACAATTGTCTATTGAATAACCGTGTACCATAAAATGCATGGTACTGTACCAACACTGAGCTTTTGAATTAAGCTCTCCCAAATTTTGATGCTTCCCAATCTTCTTCTGATTTCTTAGCTCCAGTTTCCCATTGGATTGATGATCTTTCTTTCTTTATTCATATTTAAGCATTGCACAATATAAAATATCAGCAAGTTTACAGTGCAACGCTTCTTTAAGTGAAGGATTGGCTGGTATTGCTCAGGAAATGCCTGAGTGTACTTACAACACTTTCCCATTCTTTTATGCACCTTTTATGTCTCCCAGATTGATGACTGAATCAAGATACACAAAATCTCTCACTATTTCAATTTATTGATTGTCAACATAGGTACTGGGTTGTTTTCACTGCTGTCTTCAAATCTTCCCTCCATCAATCCTCTGCCGCCAGAACATCTCTCTAGATTCTGCAGTTCTTCCCTAATATAAGCAAAAAGAATACTGAATTAGGTTATACACACAGATAGATAATGAGCAGAAGATACAGTTGATACAAACAGAAAAGTATTTCATTTAATGCAAGTGTAAAATATTAATAAATAAATATGACTCTCCTCAATCCTCTAGCACATAGATTCTTAGCCTATGGTCTGTGGACCCCAGGGTGCCATTATGTCCTCACAGGGGGTCCACAAAGGTTTGAAAAAAAAGTTATTATCTTCTGCAGTTAAAAGATAATGAATGAATGAATGAATGAATGAATGAATGAATGAATGAATGAATGAATGGAAAACATAGAACAAAGCCTTAATTTCCCTTGCTTGTTTGTGTAAAACTTGGCTTTTCTAACCTACTGCCTCCATTAAAAGCAAACAAAACAAAAGTTCGATTAAGAAAATAGCTGTTTAATAGCAAATAATTGTCTGATGCTTCTGCACACCATGAGAACATGCAAGTGAATGATGCTGAGTGGCTGAGAGATAGCACTTGATATTTTTTCGCTACCGCACAGACAGTCAGAAGCTGTGGGAAGAGAGAGTTGGAGTCTGTCATTGTCAGTGTGAGTGAGTGTTTGGAAAGGCTTCATGATCATGTTTCTTTGATCTCTGCTAATAAAACCATTTGATTATTTTTGGGTAAAGTGACTTTTCGATATTATTGCATTGGAATTCATAACAATACATTTTGGCGGAGCTTCGGAATAGATGGCTGGCTTAATTTGAAACATAAAAGAACTGTTGCTGTTGATGAAGGTTCATCCCATTCAAAGCAAAATGAAGCTTCTTCCAGTCATCTTAAAAAGTGTTGTCATTAGGCCAAGGAATATCTTGTTGATGAGATCCTACATGAGAAACTGTAAATAAATATTTGATGCCCTTTAAAGTTTTAAATCTTGAGTTAGGTTTTGGTAGTCGGAGGCAACAAAATATTTTTAAAGGGGCTCCATGGTAAAGAACAGGTTAAGAAGTGCTGCTCTAGCACACAGATATTGAGTAGTTGGTTCAGGATTCACTTTATTTATAGAAAAAAAATTATTATACAGTCATAGACTATGAACTACCTATACAACTTTCTACTTTCTTTCCCTGACTTTTCCCTCTCAACCTCTAACTCTCTCTCCCACCTGCCCGAACAACACATCTCATTGTCAACTACCTCTTTACAGGCACAATCATTCTGGAAAGAGGTATTCGATCAATCAATTGATAACTATTTGTTTTCTCAAGAAATCCAACTGTGGGCAGTGCAAGAGAAAAGGGTGCTTCACCTTATTGACAGAAACCCCCTATCTTGCGGTCAAGATAGCTGTAATGGAGAACTGTTAGATCGCTCCATGGTTTAGGTATATAGCTGTGGAACTAGAGGTTGAGATTTGCCATTCTGCCTTCCTGGCATGGACTAGACTTGGTGACACATAGGGTCCCTTCCAGCTCTGCAGAGGTCAAGATGGCTGTGATGGAGAACTGTTAGATAGCTCCGTGGTTTAGGTATATAGCTGTGCAGCTAGAGGTTGAGAGTTGCCATTCTGCCTCCCTGGCATGGACTAGACTCAATGACATATAGCGTCCCTTCCAGCTCTGCAGTTCTAAAATTATTCTAAGATTGTTGTGAGTAACTAGGAGAGCAAGAGATTTTATATGATCCTGGAGATAAAGGAGGCAGAGAGAAGGCCTATGAATGCTATCCATGGACTACTGAAAAGGCAACAGAGAAAAAACTCCATGGATATATTTCCACCTATTCCAAACCCCTCCATGCAATGGTTCAGATCATATGATATACATGTTACTGTTCCATTCCAGTGCATTAAGTTGTCATGGTGTGGACTGGAAGAATAAGAAACTGCCCCCCATCACCAGTGGTCCAGCCTCACCACCATCCGTATATTGGGGATGAATGTTTGAAATGGGAAGTGTTGGCCCCCTATGTGGTTTGGAACTCTGTATGATCAGCAGATGGAGACAGCAGCCACGAAATTAAAAGACGCCTGCTCCTTGGGAGGAAAGCGATGACAAACCTAGACAGCATCTTAAAAAGCAGAGACAACAAAAGTCCGCATAGTCAAAGCTATGGTTTCCCCTGTAGTGATGTATGGAAGAGAGAGCTGGACCATAAAGAAAGCTGACCGCCAAAGATTTGATGCTTTTGAATTGTGGTGCTGGAGGCGACTCTTGAGAGTCCCTTGGACTGCAGGGAGAACAAACCTATCAATTCTAAAGGAAATCAACCCTGAGTGCTCACTGGAAGGACAGATCCTGAAGCTCAGGCTCCAATACTTTGGCCATCTCATGAGAAGAGAAGACTCCTTGGAAAAGACCCTGATGTTAGGAAAGTGCGAGGGCAAGAGGAGAAGGGAACGACAGAGGACGAGATGGTTGGACAGTGTCATCGAAGCAACCAACATGAATTTGACACAAATCCACGGGAGGCAGTGGAAGACAGGAGGGCCTGGCATGCTCTGGTCCATTAGGTCACGAAGAGTCAGACACAACTAAACAACTAAACAACGACGATGATCAGTGGATAGAAAACAAACAGCCAAAAGGGGAAGGAATGCATATAGATAAAAAAATAATTTTTATGCAGAGGTTTTCTTAAATTCCCTGTCATCTCCTGCTCCAGAGAATAGGACCTGAACCCGTAGATTCAAAGCACAGGAAAGGAAATATCAATGAAATATTAGGAAAAACATTTTGGAAGGTGGTAAAATCTTCTTATCAGGAGGTTTTCAAAGAGAGGTTTAGTGTCTCCCTTGTTCTACTGGTGGATTTCCTACATTGGGCATGATGACTGTTGGATCTTCTTCCAGTTCTGTGATTCCATGATCCATCTAATTTATTACAGAACACTTCACTCAGATCTTTGGGCCCTTTTTTTTTTTTTTTTTTTTTTTTTGCACTGCCCTTGCTTTAAAAGCCACACAAAATAAAGCAGTGATTAAGGAGCATTAATAGTCTGCCTTGAGCCAACAAGCACCATAGGGAACAGCAGGGGATTTTCTAATTACAAGGAGGAGGAGGAGGGCTGGGCCCTGCTGAATAAGACCTCTCCTCTCGTGGAGGAAAGAAGAGGGGGCCCTGGTCCCCAACCCAGCTGCTAATAAAACAACATTTAGGCATTGTTTTGGCAGTTCTGCAGAACGACTAAACCTAGTTGTTAATCGTGACACACGCACAGCCTTGGCAAAAGAAAGAATGAGTTACTGCTCTGCCAGATATTGTAATAGGACTAATAACGTGCTCCATTACTCAGCACCTGAAGCCTAGCTGGGTTCCTTTGAAGAAAATTACAGAAATAATTAAGGTTAAGAAAAGATGGGCCCAGAGTCACCTACCCTATTCACTAATTAGGGGATTCCTGGTTGTTTTGCATTCTCCTGGAGGTGCTTAATTCCTCTAATTGCTGAGCTGCAGGTTCCATTCATAGTGGGAGGCTGCTGAGAAACAAACTGGCAGGGGAGGGTTCTCTTTGTGTCACTCTGGATGTCCCTTTGGAGAGAAGAGGAGGTGATACATCGGAGGTGGAGTGAGTCGTGAATTCACTAATTTCAACAGTATGGTGTGTTTGGCTACTTGTGGAGCCTCCTTGATAGGCGCTTCTTCTGCCTTGCTGCAAAGCCACCTTTTGCCATGCCATTGGTTGCACTCCAGTGTTTACATACACAACACGAATGCCCAGAAATAAGCACCTGCAATGAAAATGACACTACCATGCCAGCACCAGCTCTGCAAAGCAGTTCACAACTTCCCACAGAGCCCTGTATACTTGGTACGTTGTGAGTAGATCTAACAGGGTGAGATTCAGGAATTAAAAATTACATTTGTATTGTATTAGCCTAGCGTTCTAGGAAGGCATCCTAAATGAAGAGTTCTAGGAAGGCCTAAATGAATATTCTATGTTTTGAAGCAGTGCATCTCTTGATATTATAGAACTGCTGGATAGCTCAACGGTTTAGGTATTTGGCTGTGGATCCAGAGGTTGAAAGTTTGATTCTCCTTAATGGGCTAGACTCAATGATCCACAGAGTCCCTTACAGCTCTGCCATTGTAAGGTATATTTCTTTCCATATTTTTCCATGTATAAGATGCTATTTTTTCATAAAATCATTAGACTAAAAATTGAGGGTCGTCTTATACACAGAAGTAAGCTAAGGAGAGAACAAAATGCCCATACTTTGCTTCTACAAACAGGCTTTCTTCAATCCCGAGGCTTAGGTTCCTACAGTCAGGAGACTTGGCTTCCTCCAATCATGAGCCTTATGTAACTGACATCAGCTGATGCTGAACAATCCAATTACAACAGTGCTCCGATGCAACAGGGACTTGTAATGTCCAAGCATTCTGAGCTCAGAGGCTGTATAAAGTTAAAGTGTGATGTATAATATGGCAATACTGGTATGTAAATGTTACCTAATTACTAAATTAAAATGTGCTCCGTTTTATCTTTAAAATATTGATTTCTTAATTTTGGGTTAGAAAAATGGGAGGGTGTTATACATGGGGGCATCTTATACATGGAAAAATACAGTATATGTTAAAGATACGTTGAACGACCAGTATAGAAAGGCTTTGCTTATGGATCCTCTTGATGTACTCATAAACCACTGCCTATCAGACACAGACTCTAGAAACTGATATGGAATACATATTAATAGTATCCCCAAGATGACTTTTACTAAGCAATGTTCCCTCTAAGCCATGTGGTGTGTGGGCACATGCCGCTGGATCAGGTGTGCTGCTGGATCGGGAGTGCACAGGTGAGTGAATGTTAACACCCATTTCCTTCTGGTTGCTGCCGAGCCCCAAGCACAAGGGGCAGTGCTCCTTCACAGTGCTCTGGAAAATTAGAGGGAAGGTTGGTAACCATCATTCCTGTCAAAGTTGGGCTTAACATGTGGCAGCTCAGTTAAACCAAGACAGTTTGCCTGCATGTGCATGAGTAGTATGATCCAGGGCCACTGAGACTAAGCTCTCTGTCATACTTGCATGCTCTCACCCCCTTGCATGTGCACCTTCCCTCCCTGTAGCCATTCCCTCTTCTTCTTCTCTCTCTTTCACATGCTCATTCTCCTGCTCTCTCTCTTGTGCACCAACGTCCACAAGAGAGAGCAGAAGACAGATGTTTGCACAGGTGCCTTCTCTCTCTCTCTCTCTCTCTCTCTCTCTCTCTCTCACACACACACACACACACACACACACACACACACACAAATACCCATCCACTTTCTCTCACTTGCTGTCCCACATGTTCACCCAGTTGTTCTCACACTCCTTTGTCCACACAGGTGTTCCAGCATGCTTGCTTTTTCTTCCCAATACATCTGAACTATCCCTCATGCACAGACCTGACGGTGCACTCTCCTTTGCTCTGTGCCTAGCGAGGCACCTGCCCACTTTCACTCTTGCCTGCTCTCCTGCTTCTTTCTCTCTTGGCTGCTTTCCTTTTCTGCCATGTGAGTGGCTACAGGCAACCTTGCACTCTATCTCCCACCAGTCTTTTCTTGCTCTGTCTTGCATGCCTGCTCTAGCACTCGCTCCTGCACATGCTCCCATACTATCTCTGCCCACCTGCATGCTCTCCCAGCTTTGCACCCACCTACTCTATCTCAAGTGCCCGTGAGCATCCCTCCACCCACCCTCATGCTGTGGATGCCAGATCTCCTTCTTGTTCTCCCTCTCACATGCGCATGTGCCTGCCCATTCACTCTCTTCCTGTCACAGGGCATGGTCTCACTCTCCTTTGCATAGACACACCTGCCTACTCTCGCATGCAAACTCAACTGCCTGCTCTTTTTCATGTGCCCATGCCCATCCTTGCTCTCTTGTGCAACCCCTCTCACTTTTGTATGGGTGCTCTCTCTCACACACACACTCTTGTTCTCTCTCACACACACTTGCACTCTCCTTGAAATGCATGCACCCACTTTCTCTCACACATTCTCTTGCCTTCTTGCACACCTGCTTTCTCTCACTTCCTTTTCTGCATCCACATTGCCTCCCTCCTGGCTGTTCCACTTTCCACTGCTGCTTTTCTCCCTCCTTCCTTCAATCTTCCTGCAACCCCTCCTCCATGAAGAAAGGCAAGGAGTAGCATTGCCTGAGGAAAAACCCAGGTGGCTTCTCTGCTCCACTCTCCTTGCTCAGGCCACATGTCACCAATAACAAACTAACAATCACATACTTTGCAGTCATAATTCTTACAAGCAAAAAAGCTACTTTGTTCTATCTTGTTACTGAAAAGTAACTTGTTGGAAAACTAAGTTTCTTTCTAGATCTGCCAAGGACGATTAAGATCATGGAAACAATTCCAGGAAAGGCCAAGTTATATATACTTTCCTCCAACACCACTATGGTAAAATTCAGATGATTACAAAAAAGAGAAAAAGATGGGAAACAGAGTCCCAGTCCACCCCCATCATAACTCTTTCGTTCCCTGAAAGCACACAGAGAGAGTGTTGTCTAAGATATCTGCCCTTATAGCTGTGCTCTGCTTTTTGTGCTGCAGCATTCCACATTGCTCTGCACTCTGAATATTCATATTGCTTTCTTCAGAGATCAGAGGACTGGACTTGGCAGGAGAAGGAATTGGCACGTCTGCAAAAGAAAACAGGAATACTTAATGCAAAACTGAATGAAAGTGTGAACTGAAGTCCCTAGACTGCCAAGAGGACCAAAGTATTTTGGGAGGAAACCAACTTTAAAGAACAATTGTGTCGATGAAAGAAAACCTTGGAACAAGACTGAAGTGCTAGCTAGTCTGTTTTCCCCCCCTAGAACTACCCTAATTTTATAAACAAAAGGTAACCAGCAGCGAAAAGAGGGTGGGATTAAGACCTTGCCATCCATCCTGGCTGCCTCTATAAGTCTGGAACTAGCATACTTTCTCACTCTGCTCTCTTGACCTCCTTACCATTGGATGGTAAGAACCAATATAGGAACATAAGAGCATAAGAAGATTATATTCATTGGTTTGTTTAGCCCAGTACTGTCAACTCGGGCTGCTACTTTTGCTTTAGAGTTCCACCTAGAATTCTTTCCTAGCCCTAACTGGAAATTCCTGGTGGTCTCCCACCTGTTGTTGATTAGTCATTTAGTCGTGTCCAACTCTTTGTGACCCCATGGACCAGAGCACGCCAGGCCCTCCTGTCTTCCACTGCCTCCTGGAGTTGGGTCAAATTCATGTTGGTAGCTTCGATGACACTATCCAACCATTTCGTCCTCTGTCGTCCCCTTCTCCTCTTGGCTTCGCACTTTCCCAACATCAGGGTCTTTTCTAAGGAGTCTTCTCTTCTCATTAGATGGCCAAAGTATTGGAGCCTCAGCTTCAGGATCTGTCCTTCCAGTGAGTACTTAGAGTTGATTTCCTTCGTAATGGATCTCCTACCTAACCAGGCCTAATGCTGCTTAGCTTCTGGGATCAGAAGTAGTGCTGTGACACT